CGGCAACTCTCGAATGTTTTCCGTCGTTTTTCCTTAGTGCGGCAGCCTGGGCAAAACCATCATTTGGTCCCCTAGCGCCGCCGGTGCATGGCGTCTCACCACAGACTCCGACAACTCATTGTAGTATTAAGAAAGATTTTGCCCCATAGCCCATTGGTCCAACCCCTGTCGAAGCGCCGGTGGCGCCTCATATAGGCGTCGCGACTCGCGAGTCATTGTCGCATTGCCAACTGACGGTTCAGCCGACGGCACCATGATTTACCACGCTGCCTAGCTGGGAAAGCACGCCATGGGAACCTGCAGACGTTGCCAAATTCCCATGTATAAAATATGAATTTTCAGGAAAATCTGTAAATAATTCTTTTTGAATTTGCCTGTGAATTTAATATCGTGACTTTAATTCACGATATCATATTTAAAATTTCTTAAAATTTCAAGAGAAAATATTCGTGGCTATCCTCGAAAATAAAAATTTTATTGGAGTAAACTCGGCAACGTATGGAAACTCACAAGGCGTTTTTCCGTACTGCCATGCTAGGGAAAAACGCCGTAAGATCCTTCAGGCGTTGCCAAATTTCCTTTCGAAAAACGCGGATTTCCTGGTAACTTTATGAATATTTTCCGCCAATTTTTTCAGATAATTCAGTTCACAATTTTACCTAGAGATTCTGAAAATTTATGGGGAAAATATTCATAACTTTCCCAAAAAATGAACATTTAATCGCGGGAAATTTGGCAACTCTCGAATGTTCATACGGCGTTCTTCCTTAGCACGGCATCCACTTGACGGCTTTCTACATTCGCCGTCAGTTAGAATATTAATGGTTCGAGGACCTTACTTACGGATGTGCTTCTCCAGAACGGTGTTTTTATAGTCCAGTCAATCTAGACCAAAAAAGGGCCCTACCTTGCAAATTTTGCGAAAAACTTTCTGTCATATGTTTCCTATGTGTTTTTTAGCGCTGAATCCGAATCTGAACTTTGCTACCTTCGATTTTTGCCGCTAAAGCCGCCATCTTGAAAAAACGTTGCCAAATCTCATTTTTCGTCCAAAAATCGTTAATAACTCGTTCCCTGTGCGTCGGACGGCAAAATGAGTTATTTGCAGAATNCGATGCAGCGTTGCAGCCGATTTCGGCCGTGCGAGTCTCCGACTTCGAGCGCTCCTAACTTCTGTTGAAACAATCACTAGTTCAAAATATAAGAGTGATTCTAGTAGCATTTTTTGTCTACTTTAATTTCTGTGGTAACCATTTTTGCCGAAAAACCGCTAAGAAAAAAGATATTTGAGAAAACCGCAAAAAATTGCGATTTTTTCAAATTTCCCGCTATTTTCAGCGCGCTCTGGCGGATGGTATACGCATGTTATCATAACTTTGATACATGATTCTAAACCAAAATTTTATGTACTTTCATTCTGCAAATAACTCATTTTGCCGTCCGACGCACAGGGAACGAGTTATTAACGATTTTTGGACGAAAAATGAGATTTGGCAACGTTTTTTCAAGATGGCGGCTTTAGCGGCAAAAATCGAAGGTAGCAAAGTTCAGATTCGGATTCAGCGCTAAAAAACACATAGGAAACATATGACAGAAAGTTTTTCGCAAAATTTGCAAGGTAAAATCGTAGATTGACTGGACTATTAGTGACACCTACCTTAAACTAATAATCTTTGCACGACCTTATTAGGGAGTTTAGCGTGCTTCGCGATATATCGATATTGCCTCAAGTGCAGCTATGGTAAATAATCTATTATTAAGGTGTTCGATGCGAACACCATGCTTATCGGTCCTTTTCATAGGTTTAAATGGCAGATAAATCGATATATCGCAAAGCACGCAACGTCATTGGTCAGCCCGCTGGTCAGACGAGGCAAAAATCGATACCCAAAAACGTTACCGCACAACTCTCTGAAAAGAAAAGCATTCTGAAAAATTCAAGCACTAGCATAGAATTAATGTATACGGTACAATATTCACCAACTAGTTTATGCTTAAAGAATGTAGAAGTGCTAGTTTTAGCCCATACAATTCACCGAAAAAGATACTCTAAGAGGTCCCCAAACTCATCGAAAACTCTTCAAGGATCTGTATTTTGATGTTGGTGGATTTCCACCAAAGTTCATAGCAATTCTAAGAAACCCTCAAGCTCAAATCACATTCAACAAAGTCTCAAGGTATGCATTAAGTATTTCCTTCCCTTTTTTAAAAAGAGTGAGAGGTGTTAAAATTTAATGGGGTAGTTGCGCGTGTTAAAAAAAAAATTGCTTTGCTCATTGTATTGGATCTCTGTGGATTACTAAGGGATGATGAGATCCGTCTAAACAACAGTTTTTACGCCCGTAATCCAAGCTTTAAAGTGAATTTTTCAGTGATTAAATTATTTGACCTGACGTAAAAATTGCATATTTGCATAACCGTGATGCATATTTTAAAATAAATTGACAAATAAAAAAATACTGAATAAAAGATTACCCTTAAGAGAATGATGTACAGCGCGAGAGAAAACGGAGGTTCCTGTTTTGTGAATGTAACAGTATTTTACGTTTAATTGATTCAATCTTGAAATTTACGCGGTCTATTAAGAATTTTTTATGAGTTATTTTAACGACTATGTCATCGAGTTTTTTTTCTCTTTCTTTCTTTTTAGAAAAATCACTGATAATTTATGAACAAAACGGTTTTTTTGACACGCACAACTTATCCATCTCACAGAGCGGCTATTCAAAATTTTATGCACCCTGGATTACAAGTGGTGAAACAATTCATCCAAAAGACGGCTTAGAGAAGAATCAGTCTGACTACACGACAATCGTTGCGTCGTCTAACTTCCTCTCGTGTTTTGTTTCTCTGCTTAAAATTGTGAGACAAAATCTACTTTATAGTACGCAATATTATAAATATCGTAGTACATTTTTCATATGCTAGAACACGTTTGAATTAAAAAATGCTACGAGGTATCAAGCTGCTCATTTCATCGTTTTTAGGATATACAAAGGAACATATCTTCATTCCAAGGTTGCAAAATTGTCTTACAGAGTTCTTATTTCACACGAAAGTGACGACGCGACACAATTTCTGTCCAAAATTTTGCTGATATTTTACGCAGAAAAATCTGTAAAATTTCAATACAAGTACCGAATTGTTCCTGTATACAAATAAAAATTGTTAACGAAAATGTGGCAGCGTTGAAATTCAATTACGTTCCTTCGTTTGGGAAACGACGAATTTTTGGCTGACAGAAAAATAACCCGAGAGGAAATCAGGCAACGAGAAATGCAGAAAATTCCAGAAAATTGGCAACATTGTTTTTTCTCCATTTAAACCTATGGAAATGAACCGATTCTTGGAGGGGCCAGGTGTTCCGACAAGAATCGATTATTTAACATAGGTTTAAAGGGAGGAAACTCGGTGTTGCCAAATTGCTGGGGTCCGCTTCTGATTTGAACTGATTCTGGTCGAAGCCGTGCGATCGGTAGAACATCGCAGTCAACAACGTCCAAGCACGGAAGACAGATCTGGAACTTGATATATACCGAAAAGTCTTCATTTATCAGTGGCGAGGCGTGCTTTGCGATACATCGATTGATCTGCCGTTTAAACCTATGGAAAAGGATCGATAAACAGAGTGTTTACGACGAACACATTAATATTGCTGAGGGAAAACGCCGTACGAGCCTTCAGGAGTTGCCAGATTCCCCTCAATGAAAACCGAATTAACTGAACATTTTTTGAATGCTTTTGAATGCTAGAGAGCGAAAAAGCCTTCAATTTTTCGTGTATGCAACACGGACATCCGTCGGGCTCGAATAGTTGCATCAAGGCGTTGAAAGAATGGAGATGTTGCACGTGTGAGGAATTTGCGATTTGACTGTTGATTCTAATGCAAAAGTTCGCGAGAAACACGATGGTGCCACTGGTTTTCTCTGAAATCAACTCCCAAACTCAAAAAAAGCTCTCAAGTCGAGGCCAAAATGGAGGGAATATCCCACGCTATCCTGAGAGTCCACCTCTACACCAAGACAAACTCTCCATGCAAAGATAGGGAGCAAACACATTAGCAGTGATGACATGTTTTCAGTTTTGGAGTCCCCAAATAAAGTGGCAGCCCTGTCAATGAATTTTCTCCCTATCTTTGCATGGAGAGTTTGTTTTGATGTAGAGGTGGACTCTCAGGGTAGGGTGGGATATCCTCTCCACTTTGGCCTGAACTTTAGAGCTTTTTTTTAGCTTGGGAGTTGATTTCAGAAGAACCCGTGGCACCATCGTGTTTTCCGCGAACTTTTACATGAGAATCAACAGTCAAATCGCAAATTCCTCAAACATGCAATATCTCCATTTTGTTCGCAATGTGATACAAAATAACTGAAAATTTCAAGGAAAATTGGACGTATTTCTGTCAAATGGAACTAAGCGCCAAATTGAGTTCCTTTTGAAGATTTTAGAATCCCGGATAGCGCGTTCTGTCAAACGTTACCTTGCGGTGAGCTAACCATCACCTTGCGGCAAGGTATCCGCCTTGCCATCCTCTCCGAGCCCTATCCGAGCCCTCGCCGAGCCAGTTCAAGGAACTCGACGACCGGGAATAAAACCGTATGACAACACTGTAGACCCAAATCCAGACGCAGGGCGCGAAAAAGGTGACACAGCATCGGGAAATACCCCGTGTTGGGTTTGATTTTCGTCTCCAATGTTGCCATGCATAATTATTCCCAGTCGTTAAGTTCCACGAACTGACCCGGCGAGGGCTCGGATAGGGCTCAAAGAGGGTGGCAAGGCCGATACCTTGCCGCAAGGTGATGGTGAGCTCATTGCAAGGTAATATTTTCGCTAGGGAAAAGCATTGCGAGTATAGGAGGTGCGAGCATCGCGTTCCGCAACACCCGCCAATCCAAGCCCCCCTCTCCTTTTCCTCTCCCTATGGCGCTTAGTTCCGTTTGATAGAAATACGTCCAATTATGAGTAACCTTCCTAAAAAATACATGCTTAATCTGGAGAAATTTGACAACTCCCGAATGTCCATACGGCGTTTTCGCTTAGCACGGCAGAATAGGCAACCGATTCTTTACCATAGCTTCAAATGGGGAAATATCGATAATCGATTATCACGCCTCGCCGCTGTAGTTAATCACCGGGCCGGCGAAATTTTAATCGTGCCCGTACCACGCGGAGTTAACCTCACTCCTCTTCCCACCCCACGAGTGGAATTCGGCGCCTCTTCTCGATTGGGTGAACGTTGAAGAGTCGGGGCTGTAGTCGGCCGCCCTCAGGAGCATCTTGTGGATGACGGATTTCTTCTCCTCCGGCTCCCGATCCGAGAGCCTCAGGTTGAGGATGTAATTCAAAAGGTGCTTAACTCGCTCGCCGTGGACGATCGATTTCGATTTGGCGCATTTCTTCTCCCTTTCCTTGAAATCGCGGTACAGCTTCTCGACAGCCGCGATAGAGGGGTCTAGATTTCCTTCTCTCGAGTCAACCTCTCTTTTTACCAAGGTGTGTGTATTATCAGAGTTTTTATCACTAGGACCTGCTTCGGGAGCGGTCGACTTTGTAGCCTCTCTTTTATTCAGAGAAATGGGTTGGTCTAAGTTGCCGGGTTCTTTCACTAGTTCCAGAATGCCGGTTTCTTTATTTTCTTGCCCTAGATTGTAGTTCTCGTTTGAGCTTCTTTTCCCGCCCCAACTGTAAAATGCGGGACCACGTTTCCCACCCTGCGCGTTGTACGTCGAACCGGAGGCGGCTCGTTTCCCACCCCAGCTGTTGAACGCCGGCGCGCGTTTCCCACCCCAGCTATTGAACGCCGGCGAACGTTTCCCACCCCAACTGTTGAAATTAGCCCGTTTCCCACCCCAACTGTTGAAATTCGCCCGCTTTCCTCCCCAACTTTTGAATGCAGGTGAGCGTTTCCCGCCCCAAGAGTTGAACGCAGGTCCGCGTTTCCCACCCCACGAATTGAAATTTGCCCGTTTCCCTCCCCAACTGTTGAACGCGGGTCCACGTTTCCCACCCCAACTGTTGAATGCAGGTCCACGTTTCCCACCCCAAGAGTTGAACGCCGGTTTGGGGGGAGCTCGTTTCCCTCCCCAGCTGTTGAAATTCGGCCCTCGTTTTCCACCCCAGCTATTGAACGCCGCCGCGCCGGCGCGCTTCCCACTCCAGCTATTGAACGCCGCCGTGCCGGCGCGCTTCCCACCCCAGCTGTTGAAGGATGGACGTCGTTTGAAGCCTCCGTTGGTGTTGTACAGAGAATCGGCGAATTTTAAGATTATGAAAGGGTCGTTTCTTTTTGTTTCTTCGAGAGCGTCTATGGAGTCTTCACTGCTCCTTTTGCCTCCCCAGCTATGGAAGCTGGAGGTTCTTTTGCCTCCCCAACTGTTGAATGCAGGCTTGGCCCTTTTCGGGTCTAGGTGCTCGAGAAAGTCAAGAGGGTCATTATTTTGGCCTTCTGCTTGTCTTTTCTCTCTCCGATGTTGACCTGAAACACGTAAACGAGAGTAAAAAAAAATTTGAAGATACCTTACACATGTTTAAAGGAGTCAAGCAAAATTCAAGTTAGACGGACAAAATTTGCATTATACTGTCGAATATGTTTTGAGTAAACAGTGCCCATATTTAGTTTTTTCTCAGTGATGATCTTCATATTTGGCACGATGGCATAGGTTTACTGACAAAACTTTGGAGGAGAATGGAAAAAAATAAAGACAATTTTCATAAGTACCGGTAGGGGCTCGCGAATTACCTTATTATATTAACCTTGGCTATTTTGAAATATTTTTGTTGCTTTAAGAAATTATCCATTGAGTCCCTCCAATAATTGGACGTATTTATGCTAAATGGAACTATGAGCAAGTGGAAAGTGGGCAAGTGGGTTGTGCTCGTTAGTTGAGGGCCATAGGAATGAATGGGATTTTTAAAGCGCCAGTGACGTCATGTCAGCGGCGAAGAAGCCGCCGTCGCCGAGCATTAACTCATGAGCCCTGTCCACAACGCTCTTGTCACATGTGCACGGCTCACGAGTAGCGCTCAGTTCCTTTCGATTTAATGTACAATTCCGCTTTTCCATTTTCCCAAAAGGAACTACATCCACTTTTACATTGTTTCTTATCCAACTCACCACGAGCACACCCCATCTTTCCACTTCAACATAATTCCTTTTAGCATAATTGCGTCCAATTCTGCAAATGTTTTGTGCTCATATGAGCATTTTCCCTCTGTATTGAGATTATCAGCTTTATGGGGATTTTTAATGCACGTTGGCTACAATACCAACTTTCTTTCTAAACGACTCGTGCGTCTACTGCAATCAGTTTGTATCGTGCTAGATAAACCCACAAATAGAGGGCGCAAGACACCCTCGGGGGTTGGGCTGCGTTGCGGTCGGCTTACTATCTTTTCCGCACAAAGTACATTTGTGGTAATTTTCCCGATTGTCGCTGCCGTGCAAAGTCATTTTCGCACGAATAATTTTCTGTGGTACGTGGCAACGTCGAGATTAATATGGGGCATATTTAAGAAAAATGAGTGAACAAAGATTGCGATGTTGCCAGATGTTTGAGATCTGATTTGTGCGAAAATGATTTGGTGTGGCAACGATAATCGAAAAACTACCACAAATGTACTTAGTGCGGAAAAGATATTCCGCCTTGCGGTCAGAGGGCGCTCCCCTTAGTTAGAAATACTTTTACTAATGAGTGAATTGATAAGACCACAAACCATCGGCCCAGTCATCGGGATCGTAATCAGAGAGGTCCTCGTCGGACGGCCAGGAGTCGTTCTCCGGGGGTAGCTGTTCTTGGAGGACGCTCTCGATGTCGCTATCGGCGGAGGTGTCGCAGGCCGGTGAGGTGGCCGGCTCGCTCTGGTCGTAGAGGGAGGCGTCGGACAGGCCGTCGCGAGTCGCGGAGGTCTGGCTCACCTCCTCCGCCTCCTCGGGCTTGGCTCGCGCGTAGCTCGCCAGGACGGGCAGCACCAAGATCGGGAACCATGCGATCAGCATCCTGCCAACATCAAACCAGTCTATAATGAAACCAGTCTATAATGAAACCAGTCTATGATGAAACCACTCTATAATGAAACCAGTATATAATGAAACCAGTCTGCAATGAAACCAGTCTACAATGAAACCAGTCTATAATGAAACCAGTCTGCAATGAAACCAGTCTGCAATGAAACCAGTCTGCAATGAAACCAGTCTGCAATGAAATCAGTCTACAATGAAACCAGTCTACAATGAAACCAGTCTATAATGAAACCAGTCTATAATGAAACCAGTCTATAATGAAACCAGTCTATGATGAAACCAGTGTATGATGAAACCAGTCTATAATGAAACCAGTCTATAATGAAACCAGTCTGTAATGAAACCAGTCTACCATGAAACCAGTCTATAATGAAACCAGCCTATAATGAAACCAGGGAAATGGCTACTACTCACACCGATACAGCCGAATTCAATAAGTTGCCAATCATTGGTAACTTAAAATGTTAGATCCGACATAATTAGACGCATTTAAATTAAAAGAAACCATCTCCATCCTTGATTTCAGCTCGAGGCTCATACTGCCGTGCTAAGGAAAAACGCCGTATGAACTTCCGAGAGTTGCCAAATTTCCTACGATAAAAATCGAAATTACTGGGAAAATGTTGAATATTATTTTTCAAAAATATCAGGCAATTTGGTATGCAATTTAATCTAAAATATCTGAAAATTTCAAGGAAAAATATGCAGGAATGTTGTCAAAAATAAACATTTTATCCAGAAAAATTTGGCAACTCTCGAATTTTCATATGGCGTTCTTCCTTAGAACGGCAGCGTAAGAGTGCATGCATTGCCCAAGGGGTATATTGCACGTAATCGACGACCAGTGGAGTGGCGTGGTTTGCGATATATCGATTGCCATGCCATTTAAACTTATAGAAAAGGATCGATAAACAGGGTGTTCGCAGCGAACGCCTTAATAATCGATTCTTTACCATAGGTTTAAATGACATAACAATCGATTCATCGCAATTCACGCTACGCCACTGTGGACGACCATACGTCCACACGAGTAATCTGTGGCATTCAGAGGCTAATTAAGATTTGGACGTAATTCTACTGATCGGAACCAGAGACAAGTGGGAAAGAAGGGATGTGCTCGTTAGTCGAGGACCCTAAGAATGAATGCGAATTATAAAGCATCAGTGACGTCAGCGGCGACGAAGGGAGTGACGACACCCGGCATCGCGATCTTCAACTCATGAGCCCTGTCCACAACGCTCTTTTACTATGCCCGCGGCTCATGAGTGCCGCGTACAGTTGGCGCTTGGTTCCATTTGGCAGGGTTTAAAATCCAGCTTTTCCATTTTCTCTAAAAGGAGACACGCCTACTTTTACATATACAATGTTTCGTATCCAGCTCTCTAGAGCTCATCCCATCATTCCCACACGTCTATATAATAGTTCCACTAAGCAGAACAACGTCCAATTTTGATTTGTTACATAAAAAAAGAGTTTTTAAGACGATTCATATCATCACACTGAAAAAAAAGGACCATTTGCGTCAAAGATATGGCTCATTAAGTATGTGTATACAAAATGATTCACGTAGGCTTAAAACCTGGTAGATAGCACCCAATACCCGGAAACCGCGGGGAATTGATTTCAGCCAGTTCTTGGCTCAATTTTCGCCTACAGAAGCTCCGCTCCCTAGAGTATATGTGGACGATGAAACTCCCAAACCGTGTGTCTCGTTAGCGGTGTTTGAAAATCTTCACTCATATTTTGTTTCTTTAAATGAGAACAAATGAATATAATTCCTTAAAAGTTCTTCAGAATTTGTTTCTCTCGGAGAAGAAATATCACGGAGATTTTGAAGAATTGGCGTCGAGAAGTTCTCCATTTAAATGTTAAAGTATGACAGGAAGTCTGCAACGTCGCAATTTGAGATACGTTGTTTGGAAGCTTCACTGTGGATGTGTGACCGAGCGTTAACAAGCTTCTCAAGAGCAAAGGGATTACGAGCTAGGCGGCTTTGTACGGAAAATAGAATTTTAAATGTGACAATAAAAAATACACATGATGAAAAATTGCTGGTTAATATAATCTGCGTCATCACGACAGGTGATCCTCGTTCATTGCGACACAAATTAATAGGGACTGTACTGTCCTAGGAGTAATCCAACGTTAAAAGGGGAAATAGAGCAACAAGGCACCAGGCCTAAACAACAAAACGCGAAGGAATGCACCTGCACATGTAACAGGGATCAAATTGTAAGGAACGTTCTTAGAAACGTAAGTAACTCGGGGCAGGTGCATCGGAATTAAAAGGTTTCGGCCATAAAAGTGTCGAGCCAGATTTATCGCACGGGCCTTTGGCGGAGCCCGCTGCGAGGGGGGGACCCGCGTAACGGGCAAGTAAAGGCCAGTAAACCTAAAACTAGCGGGACCAACCAGAGCTTAGCATCGGTGCCTGGACCAGCCAATCAGAGATAGCGTGGGGCACGCTGGGGGTGGCCCCAAAAAGGGTTGTCCAGGGACCGAGGTTTTGGGCTCTGGAAGGCTCCGGCACTTCGATAGCTAGTTATTATTCCATGCTTCGATTTTTACTTTTGAGTCGATCAGAGAAAAACTCCTCGAGTCCTTAGCGACAAATATAAATTTTTTTCCAGACGAACGAATATTTTTCCAAAGTCCCCGAGACAACAGCCTTATTTAACATATTTACACATTTTTCTTGGATTCATACCTTGTGTTGATTTTTTTTGTTAATTTTGGTTTCGTGTTGTTAATTTGTCGGACTCTTCAACATTATAAATTTTCTTTCCATCGCCAATCATGGACTTACGTTCTTACTCTATCTCTGGGGTGAAAACACTCCAGAACCCTACAGGACATTTAAAATGTATTGACTCCAAATGGACCGAGTTTAACAGAAAGGAACCAAACCACATCAGCTATTGCCAAGTTTAACTGGGCAATGAAAGTTTTTACGAGAGAACGTTTGTTCGGATTTCTTTAAAAATTTTAAGGAATTTGCTTCATACCATGGAGAATTTTCACTGACATTTGCACGAAAATCCGCACAACCGTTTTCATGTAAGAACTTAAATTGCCCAATTAAATTTGGCAATAGCTGATGTGGCTTGGTTCCTTTCTGTTTAACCCGGTCCAAATGGCAGCCTACTTAACGTGCGTTTATCAAACGCTTCAATACAACTACTCGCGCTTATGGGATGTGCGTGTTACATATACAGAGAATTGAAGGCGTTCCGATTTTTCTGGCGCTTGCAGGCACGAGCGTCGAGCGTCATCTGATTTCAAATCTCTCGCAAGACGTTAAACTGGTCTTACAGTCATTCCACATAGTTCATTTCCCCGGATTATATAGTTCATATTTAGATTAAAGGAGGTTTGAAGAGGCCCTTAACATAACTTCATGAAAATGAAAAATTTTACAAATTGCGAGTAAAATGTAACGGAATAACTTTAGAAATACAGTCGAACCTCGATAACTCGAAGCTGAAGGGAAGCGATGAAAAATTCGAGTTATTGAGGTTTTGAGATTATCGAGGTTTCGAGTTAACGAGGTTTGGAGATGAAAAATTCGAGTTATCGAGGTTGGAGGTTCGAGGTTGGTGCTAGGTCAATTTAGAAAAAAAAACCGTTATTTGTTTTACGTTATCATAAAAAGGGAATATTGGGGAATGAAAGTAGGAACTAATATTTAACCCCACGTCCGATCGGGGTGGGACAATGGTTTATTATTGGAAAAAATATGTACACAAAGATCAAGAATTAAATTTTAAAAAACTGAGTTATTCTGCTCTGCTGCAAGTGTTGCAAACGGTGTCTATCTACCTCATTTTCAAGTGTTACCAAAGCAGAAAAAACATCATCACTAACATTAGGCAGTTGCTCCACAAAATCTCGGAGTGTAGTAAGTATACTCTTTGCCTGCTTATTTGGCACCACTGGTTTTGTGACAAGAGGCTCAGACAGATTATCTGGGCCGAAGCATCCTTCAAGTTATAGAGGTTTTTCTCCAATTCCTTCGAGTTACTGAGGTATATATTTGACACATGGTAGTTGCCTTCGAGTTATAGAGGAAAACCGCCGATTCCTTCGAGTTACTGAGATACAAATGAGCCTCAAATGAGTTAGGTGCAAAAGGGGCGTTAGGTCCATGGCGCCTCTTTTGCAGAGACCGGTTTTTCTGAATCCTCATATCCTAAAATGTAGGTGTACCAATTTTCATGTTATTATGTCAAACATTCACTGAGATACAGTAATTTTATTATTGTTAGGTTGGCTAAAAATGAACGTACCTAACCTCCATATTTTAAAAAAAACCCGCGATTATTCAGAGCTTCTAATTGTACAAACTTAAACTTGATAAAATGATCTATATTTAAACTTACCACATTATTTTCATATCTTTAAACATACATTTCATTTGTACAACAACAAACTTTGAACACGAATAACTCAAAACGCGATTTTGTCAATGACGCCCCTTTTGCACCTAACTCCTCATTAATGTCTTCGAGTTAACGGAACAAATTCTTCGAGTTATCGAGGATTTTGGCCTTCTGCGGAAGGGAACGGACATTTTCTTCGAGTTATTGAGGTTTTCGAGTTATCGAGGTTCGACTGTAGATCCTTGTAAGGAATTACAATACATTTCCGCTAAAAATATGTACATGCAAAGGACAAGTATAAAGAACAAACTGTCGTGCTATGGAAGAACGCCGTATAAGCCACCAGGCGTTGCTCAATTTCTCTCGACAAATCTCGAATTTTCAGGAAAATTTATAAATATTTCTCTTCCGATTTTTCAAAGAATTTCATTTGTGATTTGATCTAAAAAGTTTCAAAATTTCGAGGAAAAATATTCACAGCTTTTTTTCAAAAATAAATATTTTCTGAGAGGATATTTTCAAAATTCAAATGCACATACGGTGTTTTTCCTTAGCTGGACCGTATAAATGAACGCATTTATGCTAAAAGGAAGTATGT